TTAAGGGTTATGGAGAACATTTGTGATTTCCAAATATCTTTTTTATCACTATTTGTATTTCTTGACACAAATGAAGCAGTTCTTTGGTTCTCAGTGGTCAGCTTGCTGACCTTCCAGTGGTCAGCTTGCTGACCTTCCAGGGTCAGAGTCAGCATAGGTGAGGCTTCTGGAAGGTAAGTTTCCATGACAGGAATTTCTCATGACACACTACAAGTTAAGTAGTGAAAGATACCACATTTACTGCCAATTATTAGGTCAGATACAATCTCTAGCTAATAGTGAACATAAGAAAGTACCAGTTGGTGCATAGAACTCGAGCTCAAAGCTAAGATGTAAAGAATATCAGTAGAATCATTGATATCAGGAATCGACTGGCCAGGCTTTGATGTCAGCACTGATGTGTTTGTAGAATACATGGTTCCTCTAGATCATAGGGCATCATAAGATCAGAGAAGCCTATAGGGCTTCAAATGTGACCCACATCTTAGATATCAGAGGGTCTTCTGAAAAGTGGAGAGGCCAGAGAGAGGACTACCAATAGAAAACTTTGGTCAGCCCTCAGTGACATGCCAACCTGTCCCTGATTGAAGATGTTTTGGAAAAGTATTGGATAGAATTTTGGTAACTACTTTAATGATATAATTAATCTCTTTCTGGTTTAAAGGAGTATTTTGTCATACATAGCCCTTTCTCTTTAGTGGATACACAATCTTACCCATTTTCCTTTTTGTTGTTTATTTTAGTTAACACAGACTCTGCTTTTCTTAGGTTAGTAAAGGCTAACAGATAGTAGCCACTAAAAGTCAGCTCTGTTGTTTCAGTACAGAATAACCCACAAGCACAGCTAGTTCAGTGTCTGCATCCCTTGGTCTATCTGCCTGCTCATCTTTCCTGTGTGCACAGTAGAGGACAGCAGTGAGCAAAGAGGTCACACTGCAGTGGTGGCAACTAAAGTGAGCCAACCAGCTGAATGGGAACGTTTCTTCCTTTCAACCTACTTTGATTCATCCCTTTGACTTTTAGTAGGACTTACACACTATTCTACCCCGTCCCTGAGTTCCATCTAGCTCAATGACTTGTTTTTTTGTACCGTTCTTGGGTTGGAGATTTCACTAAATTTCTTTGAGCACACAAGGCTTAAATTTCCAACATTGTTGAGAACTTGAAAGTTCTTTTATTTCTCCCGTTTGCTGAGAGACAAAATTATGGGAATTCATACATGCTCAGATATGTTAAATATTAGAATGGAATTTGATATTAGACCTTCTCCATACAGCGTCTCATTTAACTGCCCCAGCATCCCAGTGAGTTAGGTACTTTCATTTTTTTTTATAGGTAACAAAACACAATCAGAGAACTTGATATCTTTCCCATATTCAGAAGAAATCTCTGTAGTCCCAAGTTTTCCTTAGCTAAGAGAAAATTTCTATGGAAATGTGTTGCATAATGAAACTTTACTCCGATTTGTGAAACATATTCAAAGTTAGATAAACAAGGATGTCAGATGTCAAAATACCTCAGACTGCTTTTACAAGATATTTTATGTGCATGCTGTTTTCTGTGACAAGCAGGGAGTCACATTTATACTGTGCTTGTTTTCCTGAATAGGCACACAGAACTAATTATTATTGGAAGAAATTTGCTTTCATTCACACATTGATGTGATTTTGGAAAACATTTTCTGAGTCTTTCAAATTCAAATTGTAAAAAGATTTCAGTTTCACCACCCAACCTTTTCTCTTTGTCACAGAATATTACCATGAATTAACCATGTTTGACAAACTCATGCCAAAAACTAATAGTTCTAGAAACAGTTTTGATTGCCTAGAAAGTTGACTTGACATAGGACAGGTGTGATGAGATGTTCATATATAACTCTGATATATCTGTCTGTCTGCATGTCTGTCTGTCTATCTGTCTGTCATCTATCTATTCAGTGAACAAATGGTGATAAAAATGACCTCATGAGCATTATCTCATAGACACACTCAACATAAATTCAACTTCCACCTGTTTTTTATGTCCATTGGATAGTCTGGTAAAAGTTAACTCTGCTAACATAAACATAAAGTATTTTGGGATAATGACCCTTGTTATGCATCCATATAATTGTTTGTTTAATAGCATAAAGGCCAGCAAATGTCCAGGCAAGAGTATCTACTGTAGTGGAATATTATTTTAACTAGGCAAGGATGTGTTAACATTTGTTTATGGTGCAGAATATTATTTTACTGTGTAAAGTTGTGCTACTTTTACTTATGCTGCATTTGTTTAATGATGTAAGGATGTGTGTTTAATTTTGAAAAGATATGTTGCGTTTGTTTCACCTTTCCTATTTAAGACAGATCGCTAAAGAGCCAATCGTTAGGCAGAAATGGGGATAGGAGGGGCTGCCAGGCAGATAGCATAACTAGGGGGAGAAGTCTAGGTTCAAGTAAAAGAAAGGAAAGTATGAGAAAGGAGAAGGAGAATAAGGGAGATGGCAGGGGCAAGAAGCCAGGCAGCAATGGCAGCTAGCAGAGACAGAGAAACAGTGAAAGTAAGATACACAGAAGTAAGAAAGGTAAAAAGCCCCGGGGGAAAAGGTAGATAAAGAGAAACAGGTTAATTTAAGTTAAAAGAGCCAGCAGGAAATGTGTCTAAGCTAGGCTGAGCATTTAAAACTAATAACAAGTCTCTGTGTCGAGATTTGGGAGTCGGTTAGTGTCCCAAAATAAGAAGCCTGGTCAGTGAACTTTCAAAAGGGACAAGAAGGGAAAGAGGATACATTAAAAAGAAAAACACAACAAGCAATATGGAGAGGAAGCAAGAAAGATCCCTGGGCTGACCAAGCCATGTGCAGCTGCATGTCCACATCGAGTATCTATGCCCCCCCTCCCAGCTGTATGTGCAAAAGGAAGGCTAAAGGAGAGACAGACGTGGTGAAGCAGGGGCCCCGGGGAAGATCTGCAAGGTTGTCTGCTAAACCCACCTCCCCAAAGACAGCCCAAACTATAAAAGGCCCCATAAGTAAGGGAGGGGAGGTGCCAAAGTCAAGAAGAGTGAAAGCAGATACTGGCAAGGTTGAGGATGCTCTGTGGACAATAAGGTGCCCAAATAGATGAGACTCAGAGTGAAGGTGCTAGAGATGCGGAGTGAGTCGGCATCCTTGACAGCCATGTACTTCTGGTGCCTCTAGAGTTTGACATAATACGTTATCAAGTTTCATTTGATAAAATGAAAGTAAGATGGAACTAGAGGTAGGAGGAGTGGCTCAGTGGTAGAGAACTTGCCTAGCAGTCACAAGACCCTGCCTTTGGTTCTCAGCACCAGGAAAAAAAAAAGGAGAAGAAAAAAAAGAAGGAAGAGAATGTCTGCCTAGGATCAAATTTCTGTAAATTGAAGCTTCAGATTAATTAGCACCCTAATTTTACTAGAAAATTCTGCAAAATGTACATATTTTTAACTTTAATCAGTGCTCAAATTTACAAAAATTCCACTATCAGTAAATGAGGTTTTGGGTGGGGGTAGGTGCACATAAACCATTGCCCTTTTCAAATAATTCACAAATGCACTAATTATGTGTCAGATATGAAAGCTGAGGTATTGTGACCTTCAAGCCAACAAAAGGCCTTTTCAAGTAAGCCATTTTCATGTACATTAATAAATTGAACAATATCTCTCCATAGCTAAATAATGTATGTCTGCTATTTTGTCAACAGTAAGAACAAATCAGGAATTGTTTCACCATTCACATATTAAACAAGATGACAGAAAAAGAAAGACATATTCAATTCATAATCTTAAAATAGTGGCCCAAAGATACTTATTATTTATTTGCTAGTCTTACAACCCCTGAATCTGAATTCATTTGGTATTTTAGCAGGAGAGCTACAAGATATATATCTCCAATCTGGAAAATCTCTAAAAAGACATTTTTTTGGGGGGAAAGTGTTTCCTTGCATTCATTGCATTGGTAGAGATGGTGAAATATTTCTTTGTAGATGGCTTAGAATAAAGGCATCTCCCATCATACCTGAAGATCTGAGACCTGTCCTCACATCTACGTGGTAGAAGGAGAAAACCAGCTCCAATGAGTTGTCCTCTGACTTCCAAATGTGCATCATAGTACTAGCTCTCCTGCATGCATGTGCACCCACACACAAACACACTAAATATTAGAAAAGAAAAAAATACTGCTTTTCTTTAGAAACTCTCAAGATGCTGGCAAGAAGAATTTTAGATAAATGGGGTTCAAATGTAGGGAAACTAATTCCACACCCTTCTCAAAGCTATATCAAGAGATAAGGAATCTGTAAATACCAGACTTAGGTAATGGCTATTATGGTAATTATTTAAAAGAACACCATTTCAGTGGAAGAGAGTATAAGTTTCAAAGGCAGTAATAGAAAATAGATTTGGGTGTCACAAATACTTGAATTAAATTGACTGCCAGAATGTCAGATAGTATTCATTAAGTTACAGTAGAAAAGCAAGAACAGGAAAAAAATATTTAATTATCTTGTGTTTGTCCTGCTTGGGATCCCAGCATATTTGATATTGAATAAAACATGAATAAGATACAGCTATGCTTAATGCAACTTAAGTGTGCATAATAGGCCTCTGGGAAATAATAAAACAATTACAATCTTAAAATAAACCACAATCAAAGGAGATTCCAAGAACCTATTAGCATGCAATCCATAGATAAACTTCACCCAGTCCCCTAAGAATGTCTTATTACGGGTTAGATGTTGATAACGAGACTATGTAGGGCTTACTGATTGATTCGCCAGCATTTTCTCTTTATGTTGATTCCCTGAGGCTCCCTTTTGTTATTTATTTTAATAGTTTATTTGAATGATTTTGTGAAGGAGGAATAAGTAATGTTTATAAAAATGTTGCTTAATGTTTCATTTTTGGAAAATGTGTATATGCTCTTCTTTGTCCATGATAGCAAAACTTTCTGTCTTTCCTCATTGAATCTGAACTAATTGCCATTGTTTTGAATTGTATTGAAGGTGGCAAACCTTGCTTGTTCAATGTCAGCAAATGAAGATGGGATGAAAATCGTCAGAATTGCTGCCAATCACCTGGAAACCCTGTGTCCACAGGTAGAGTAACTAAGTCAATGTCTCCTATACAGTTATGCTTAATTCTTCATACCTACTTGATATATACTAGAATGTCTGTTATAAACAAGGAGGAGTGATTTATTCTCATATCAAGAGCTATTTTCTACCAAGGAATTAGTTCTTGTAGATCTTTGAGATGGTCCTGTAAGATTTGCTGAGTTAAATATGTCCCAGCTTCTGAAGCTGGCTAGAAACAATTGAAAATGGGCACAGTCAATCCAGATAACTAACCTTAAGCCCAACTCATTCCACTAAATCCATTCCACCTCTACATAAGAAACAAGGGAAAGCAGGCTTATTCTGTAGATTTCTAAGGGAAAAATAATTCTGTACTATAAATCCTAAAATATTATAAGATGAAATAATATTTTCAGTGAAAGGCATTTATTTTACAGATGAAAAATTTTGATTTTTAGAGAAATTAAATTTTATAGAGATGCTTATTTTAAACCAGTAGTTCTTTCTGTCAGTAAAAGCTAGATGCTGATAAACCTTTAATAGAAGTCACAGAAAACCTCTGTACAAGGTTTTACTATTCCAAACCATGTATTGTGTTTATTTTGATAAAGGGTTGCTGCTTTAGAATTGAAGATGGTAATTCACGGTGGTAGCAGTGACCTGTAATCTCAATGCCCTCATGCCTGACGATCAGAAGTGTGAGGCTACCATGACTGGGCTATACAGAAAGATAGTATTTGAATATAGTCAAACCCATACCAAACCAACCAGGCAATAAAAGAAGATATGACTAATCAGAACTATTTTCTTGGTAACTGTTTAGTAGTTTCATAAGAGCCAATGAACAGCATATTTTTAGGGAATTATTTTAGATCACTAGTTTCCTTGAAGTCATGAATCACAATATATATTAGGGCAAATATTAAAAATTAAGCATGCTTAATAAACAGAAAAAGGTGTGCATATACACTTCTATAAAGATTGCAAATGGTGTAAGGAAAACTTGTTAAATGCTTTGTTTGCCTTATGTGATAACTTCATTTCTAATACTGTTGTGGGACAAGTCACGGTGTCTGTTTCTTTGGTTTAATGTCAGGTAACAAAAAGAAGGCTTGGCTAGCCAGACTCAAGCAGTGGTCTCCAACTGATAGTCAGTTTTCTATGGGAGCTTGTGGGGAACAGGGTACTGCAGCAAGGTCTCTAAAGTTGTTGAACCCATTGAACAGCTGCTTACAGGTGTTCTCATGTCTAAGTGGTAGCCCACACTTGGTGCTATTGCCTCATGGAGTGTCTTCAATATAAAGACTGTTAAGTATGTTATTGGATCTGCCAGTTTCCTGATTTTGGAGTAGAATGTGCATTCACCCACAGGTCTGAGTAGTTGCCATTCTGATTTTTTACTTGCCTATTTCCATTGTTCATTTTTAAGGCAGGGGGAAGATTTTAAAATTAATATTCTTAGGTATTTTCTTATATGAATACAGTGTCTTAAGATTATAATCACTCCCTAATCAATTTGTACTCCAAGTCCTCCTGTACCCTTACTATGTCCTGTTACCAACTTCATTAGAATTTCCTTCCCCTCTTCTTCCTCCTCCTTTCCTCCTGAGTCTTGTTAGTAGTGCATATGTGTGGATGGATGTAACTTTATCCTGTGAACCATGAGCAACTTAACATGGACTGTCACTGAAGAAAACTGGGTTTTCCTTCCACAGTAGCCATCACCTGGCACAAGCTCCTGAGTAAGGAGTGGGGGCTGGTAAACATACTTCATACATACTAGGGTATGGACTGAGTTAATCATACGAAGGGCTTGTGAAGGCAACCACAGCTGCAGCGAGTTCCTGAATATACTAGGTCTGTAATGCCCAGAAGAAATGGTTTTTCAGCAGTCCTCTCCAGCTTCTTCTCTAGTGTTCCCCAAGTCATTGGGAGGGCCTGTCCCAATTAGAACCAAGCACAGTCACTTATTCTCCTCAATTTGACAAATTGTGAGTCTCTGTATTAGCTATCACCCACTGCATTAAGAAATTTCTCTGGTGAGATATGAAGGATATAAGGAATTATGGTAACAAGGATATATATATTTAGAGGATTGACTTTGATACTATATCACTTTCTTTGCAGATTTTTTTAAATTAGGCTACATCTATTGTACATGGTATTATATCTCATAAGAATATTTTTATATAAGTGTGCATTTTACTTTGACTGCATTACTCCAGGGTTTTCTATGCTCTCCTTTATTTCCTTTCCAAGTCCTATTGGTCTCCTTAATTTCCCTAGACAGATGTGAAAGTTTCACATCTGCTTTCCTGTATTATGTGCATACATGATTTTATGTCTCAACAGAGAATTTCGAATTCCCAAATGAATAAAAAAAGTGTAATGTTTGTCCTTTTGAGTCTGACTTAGTCACTAAGTGTGATATTATCTAGCTGCCTCCATTTTATGCAAATGATATAGTTTCATTCTTCTTTACTGCTCAGCAAAATTGTATTGTGTATTTGTACACACATATATACACACATCTACTTATGCATGTGGCATCTACATATGCATGTGTGTATATATAACTAAAATGGTTGTTTTCATTCCCCCTTTCATAAAATTTTCAAGAACAACTCACAAATTTTATAAAAATCATGCAAATATTTTCAAATACAACATTAAAATACTTGAGACCTACTTTGTACTATAATTTATTTTGTATTAAGTTATTGAATCTTTCAACCAGCACATTTTATATATGCAATATATACTATATATACTATACATGTTTATATACACACATTCCCCTAATCAAATTTTTATATTCTTTATGGATTCTTTGAATTTTTATTACTCATTTTAAAATTATTGAATTATACTTCTACATCCTGATGGCCTCCAAAATTTATTTGGCCAATCAGACTTTTCCTTAAAGAGTAGACTCACATATTTGAATTTTTGTATTATTCTCTCCACTTTGCAACTTAGAAACTATCTAACATTTAAGATATCCAAAATGGGATCCCACATGCCCCCATGCCTTCTTCATCTATTTTTCTTGGTTTATTTGATGAACTTTCTGAAAAGCTAATATGATCTATCATGTTTTAATCAAAGTATAAGTTTTTAAAGGATCCCCAGTCTTCTCTGAATTTCAAATTGAGTTTTAGAAAATTTTATGTTTTTATGCATATTTGTATTTTGACAGCTTGTGTATCTGTACATTACACATGCTTGAGACCAAAGGAAAGTGTTGGAGCCCCTGGAACTAGAGATACAGATGACTGTGAGCTGCCATGTGGGTCCTTAGAATAGAACCTGGGTCCTCTGGGATAACAACAATTTCTCTTAAATACTGAGCCATTTCTTATGGTCCTCCAGTTGACATTTAAAACTATACTATGCATACTCGAATTTGGGATTAGTATGTCTGGAGTATAGTTCAGTGTGTGTGTGTGTGTTGTGTGTGTGTGTGTATTTGTGCATGTGTATGTATACATGTGTGTGCAGTTTTATAGCTTTGCGTTTTGACAATATCTATTAGAAAAAATGCCACATAACTTTTGGGCATAACCCAACTCCCAGATATTCATAAATGCACATAATATATGAGTATAATTTTAACACAAAATTTTCCATAATGAATAAAGCTAAAACTAAACTAAATGTCTATAGTCATCACATTAAAAGCTGTTTAAGAAGTAAGTCAGACTTCCTGAAGGTTGTTTTCTTTATCACTTGTCTTGGAGGTCTTCCATCCAAAAGACAGAACTATTAAAAATAATGCTAAGTTGACTCTGGATTGAGTGGGAGGAGCTGACAACATGAAACTTTATTCCTATTTGCTAAGTCCAGTTGAATTCACCTTGCACTCAACATAGTGAACCATTCCATTTCCCATTGTGCTTAAAGTACAATTACAACTAAAATGTCTTATTACAAGTAACTTGCTTTAGAGGAGGATTGCCGCTTGTAGCTTATTTAGTAGACAGCGTCTGAAATAGTGACATGTCTTGAAACTGAGTTGTATGTAAACCTAATGACAGCAACAGAAAAATATTCAGCCAAGAAATTGTAAGCATTAGAGACACATGTTCTCTGTCATCAAAACTTCAAAGGGCTCTAAAGTGAAAGATGGTTTCTGACAGGCCCTAAGGGGATCAGCTACAGCCTATGAACTGAATTTAGAGTGAGACACAATTCAAATCAGTATAGAGACAAGACTGGTAACAGAGTTGTTCTGACTTAAGTTTAGCTAAGATGAAGGGTCTCAATGTCATAGACATCATAGACATTTGGCTAAGGTAGATGGCTACTTGTTCATGTGACATGCAGAATGTGCAAGCCTAGAGGATTTCCAATACCCCATTTCTGAGGTCCCCTTAAAGACCAGGCTTTCATATAGAAGAAGGAAATATGATCTGGATGACAAGAACGCTGAGGCACTGTAGGTCTTTGAACAATTATATCTGAACTAGACTAAGCATAAAAGGGTAAACTGTTCTTAGGTTTCAACTGTTCAGTATTTTTGAAAAATTCATTATTAATTTTAGTTACTTGTTGATGTAAATGTAGGGAGGGGTTGTGCATGTGAGTGTGGTGCTGAGGAGGTCAGGAGAGAATGTCAGATCCCTAGAGCTGGAGTTATAGGAGATAGTGAACTCCCTGACTCTGGAAGAGTGATACGGTACTCTTTTAACCACTGGAATATTTCTCCATACCACAATAATTTTATTTTTAACAGCTGTCTTAGAGAATAAATATATATTGCTGAAATGTGCCAGTGTTTTCCATTCTCCTTCATTCTCTGGGGGGTTATAAAAACTGTATTTTCTAATCAAAATGATAAATGCTCCAATATGACACATTATCTGCTGACAAGCCAGTCATGGGAACTGATTGGTGTACTCTACCTCTGAGTGGACTGGATAGTTTCATTTCAAGAGGAGCTAATTCTGAGTAGGTTGTGATGTGTGAATATATATATATTATATCAATATTTCAATATTCTTCAATTGCATATTAGCACA